CCACTTGGACAGTCCACATTATCAAAGCAAGCCTACAGGTCCTTGGGTCTTTTCCCTCAAGAAGACGTTTTGGCTCACTCCACAAGGGCAACCGCAACTTTTGGACAAGTTACACTAAGGTACTGGCAGATATAGTCTACAAGGCCGTCAGGTGGAAGTTCCCTAATACCTATATCCACCATTATCAGTTTCATGTAGCTTGTGGTCTAAGTTTTTGGGGGGCTTCAATCCTCCCAGCTGTTCTGGATTAAAATGTTACAAATTATTAAAAGCTCTAGGATTTCTTCTGTGTACATTTTCGTTATTCCCACCCTGATTGTTTGCTAGCTACTTCCATAAGTCAAAATTTAACACGAACTAGCCCAGACTTTTACAATCTGAAAGGCACCTTACCTCCTGATTAGAATCATGAAAACACCAAATAGAATATGGGGTTTAGAGAGGCGCCATAACCATTGCACATGTTCAGAAGAATATATATAAACTACTTCACTTGAAGTTAAACATAGAAGAATTAGGTAAAATAAACATACAAGTTTAAAACCATATTAAAGTCTCCCCCTGTCGTTGTCACGCAGCCATGCTACTAGGGCTGCTGCTAACGATTATTTTCATAATCAGTTAGCCAATTATTAAGTTCGATTAATCGGATTTAAAAAAAAAAAAAGGCTCCAGTGATGGACTACTAGTTTGTATTGAGATTGTAGGTCCATCACGGGAGCAAGCTTGGAGCGGTGGATGTAAAAAAAAAAAGTACATTATACAGCGGCGCAATGCAGAATAGCAGCAGCTATAGAGGAATGCAGCAATAGTACATTATACTTATTGCTGGGATTTGTAGTCCTCTATAGCTGGTGGTATTCTCCATTGCGCGGTATGATTATACTGCACAATGCAGATTACCACTCACCAGTTAGAGGAACTACAAATCTCAGCAATAATACATTATACAGCGCAATGGAGAATACCACCAGCTATAGAGGAACAACAAGTCCCAGCAATAATACATTATACCGGGTGTTTAATATATTATTGCTGGGATTTGGTGTTCCTCCATAGCTGCTGGTGTTCTGCTTTTATTTATTTTTTTAAACAGGAAACGTTAAAACAGGTCCCCCTTACCCGTTTCTGAACCCTGGTAAGTCGCCGCGGCATGCTCTGCAGGCGTGTGTGGTGGGCGTGGCGTCCGCAGCGTAACTCGTACCTGTTCCACCACAGCACCCCCGCACCCCTGTTCCACCACCGCACACCTATTCCACCACTGCCTCCCCTCCCCCCTGTTCCACCACCGCACACCTATTCCACCACTGCCTCCCCTCCCCCCTGTTCCACCACCGCACACCTATTCCACCACTGCCTCCCCTCCCCCCTGTTCCACCACCGCACACCTATTCCACCACTGCCTCCCCTCCCCCCTGTTCCACCACCGCACACCTATTCCACCACTGCCTCCCCTCCCCCCTGTTCCACCACCGCACACCTATTCCACCACTGCCTCCCCTCCCCCCTGTTCCACCACCGCACACCTATTCCACCACTGCCTCCCCTCCCCCCTGTTCCACCACCGCACACCTATTCCACCACTGCACCCCCGCACACCTGTTCCACACTGCACCTCCGTACACCTATTCCACCACTGACTTACTTTCAGAAGGTGGACCCTCGATTGTTGGCGGGCCAGCGGCGAGTGAGGGAGCTTGCGGCAAGGAGAGCAGCGGCGTGCACGGCTTCAGCGTCCTGTGCGGTGGGCGCGGCGGCCGCAACAGGAGCAGCATGTGACATGTGGCGCCCTGAACTGGCAAATCAATCGATATCCGACAAATCAACGATCAAAAACGCTGACGTTTTTAATCGACTAAATCGATTGACTGTTGCAGCTCTACATGGAACGTACATATACCAATTGATGTACCATGTATATATCTAAAATTCATCTTCATTTCTCTTTGTTATCCATCAATGTGGTCTTTCTCAATGGCTTGCGTTTCAAGGCGTTTGGCTAATGCGCTTCCTCTGGGGACCGTGGGAGACTAGTCTGGCATAAATGTACAATGACGTTGTTATCCAGACAGTAATCTCAACATTCTTACATTTTTAACAAACACTTGTTTGAGCACATGATACTGACAAAACAGTCTCGCACCGCTTCTCACCCAGCACCTTGTGTCAACGGCGAACAGAGATTTTAGTTTCAAAGGAAAAGCATAATCTTCTCCTGACAAACACGCATATTCGATACGCCTAGGTGAACCCAGCCTTATGGTTTAAAAAAAAAAAAAGTTGAGAGATCATCACCCTTTAGAAACAAGGAACAGGATACAAAAAGATAGAAGACACTGAATGTTCCTAGAGTCACCGTTGGAAGCACAATTTGCAAGTTCAAAGTTAAAAGGAACAGTGGTTACACTACTTGGATAGGGCAGAAAAGGAAGCAAACAACATCTGCGACCAGATTTCCGAGAAGGCGGGTTAAGAAAAACACCCGAGTGACCGCAACAGACCTGCAGCAAGACTTGGTGGCAACAGGCAATGAGGTTTCAGTTTGCACTGTAAGGCGCGTCCTAAACGCATGTTTGCATGCCAGAACTCCAAGACCTACACCACTACTGACCCAAAAGCACAATAGTCAGTTCCAATATGCTCAAAATCATAAAAACAGGCCTCAGACGTTTTGAGATTCTGTTCTTTGGAGCGATGAAACAAAACTGGAACTTCTAGGCCCTATGGATCAGTGATATGTCTGGAGGAAGAAGAATGAAGCTTACACTCTGCCTACAGATAACCATAGTGGTGGCTCGGTGATGCTTTGCATCCTCTGGCACTGGAAACCTGCAGTGTGTGGAAGGCAAAATGGATTAACTGAAGTATCAGGAAATCTTGGGAGAAAAATGTCATGCCGTCTGAGGCAGCTGAAGCTTAGGCATCATTGGACCTTCCAACAGGACAATGACTCAAGCATACCTCAAAAGGCTTGGTTGCAGAAGTAGTCCTGAAAGATTCTACAGTGGCCATCACAGTCACCTGACCTGAACCCCATTGAAAATCTCTGATGGAGAAGGCGGTGTTTGCAGCACACAAACCCAAGAATATTAGTGAACTGGAGACCATTGCGCATGAGGAAATGGCTAAGATTCAGTGCACGAAGCTGGTATCTGGCTATGCAGTTCATAACAGCAAAATGGTGCTCTAGCAAGTATTAAAGATGCTTGCCATGAAGAGGTTGAATAATTGAGGCGGCAGAAGTCATTCAAAGTTGCATTTTCAGTTGAATTTGGCAAAACCACTTGAAACATTTGTTGTGTTGACCTGTTTCAATTGCTTTTGTTTAATATGTTCATTGCAAACTAAAAGTTGGTCAATTTTGCCAATAAACCTGATTTGCATGAATAATTTTGATTACAATTGTATATCCACCTGGGTCCATTTACCTTAATCCCATCACTATGCAATGTATAAAAGGCAGAGGCTGACTGTCCAAAAACAGGATGGGAGGTGCTAAGAGTTTAAGGAACCACTCTGTTCTAGTTGCATCAAAGAATAAGATTATGTGATTTGAACAAGGTGTTTTCATAAACGGTAACACCGCCCACCACTCCCCCAACCTCCTCAAACTGCCTTGGTAGCAGGAGCATGCAACCTGTGAGATATAGGGAGGTGGGGTTTGTAAAACCACAATCATAAACATTTGCCAGTATTTCATAAAATATACAGTAATACCTCGGTTCACAAACGCTTCTGTTCGCAAACAATTCTGGTCCGTGAACAGAAAGTTCAGCAAAATGTTGCTTCCGTTCGCGAACTCCAAATCGGGTGACGAACACGACGGCGGCCCAGCCGACAGACCTGTGCACACTTGCTGGGAAGCTTTTTAGCACATACAGTATTTGATTCGGTCCGTGACCAGAATCGTTTGTGAACTGAGGTACCACTGTACTTGTTTTTATCCTACGCATGTCAGTGGTGCTGATCTTCAGCTACCTCACGTCTACCTCTCTCCAGCGCTGGCTGCATATTACTGCTGAGGACCGGCTGATAGTGAGTGGTGGACTACGGCTGAGCAATGAAAGGGGGGTACATTGCTTATGGTCTCTTAGGCCCCGTACATATTGAGCAAATCGCGCGTTTGTCGGGCGATTTGCATTTTGCGCGATTTGTTGCGCAAATGCTTGCATTGAGCAAGCTTGAATCGCGGCTAATCGCGCGACAAAAAGGGTCCTGCTGTAGCGACACACAACCCACGACAGCAGGACCCTTTGCCCCATTAAGCATTGGAGAGCGATATCGCGTGGTAAATTGCCGCGATATCGCGGGAATTACCGCACGATAAATCGCTCAATGTGAACGGGGCCTAAAGGGGAGCGTGCGACAAGCTGATAATGCAGGATCACTTGACAGACGTCACCCTATTAACAGAATTGCCTGAAGGACTTTCATGATGGGATCACTAGGGAATATTCTTTTTTTCATCAAATTAAAGCAATTGGGTTTAGATCTATTTGAATTATATTTAGCTCAAAGTTACCCTTCCAAAATACACTAAAAACTGAATGAACTCTGAAGAAAAGAAGATGAGAGGTTCTATTAACACTTTCTGGAGCGCATGCTAATGACAAGGCTATTAAAGCATGTGCAGTGAATCCAAAACAGGTTCATTGCTGCCCTGGTATATGCCGAGTCAGTTACAGCTTCCACCTGAGGCATATCACACAGACAGTTATTAGATGATAAAGGGTTGGTGCCTATCGGTTTTTGACTTTATATTGAGTTCTACAAAATGACAACTGCACTTCAATTTACCATATTTTCAAATGCTGAAAGGGCAGCTTGGATAATAGAGTATAATAAAAGCTTTAAACATTAATACGAAAACAATACTTTATAGTGTTGTTAAAGCGAGGGGAAAATAAAGCAATTTGAGATCTTGAAAAAAAAAAAAAAAAAGACAAAAAGACAAGTATATTAATTTATAAACAGGAAGAAAAAAAAAAAGAAAAAAAAAATTAAGGTGATGGGGGGAGCGACAACCTGACTAAAAAGTGATAAGTTCATATGCAAAATATATAAAATTTGTCATGCTCCCTTCAATTAAGGGCTCTTGCGGAGAAACTTGTAGTACGAAAAGTAACAAGTTCCAAATTTATTAAAGTCCTCTGTAGAAAATCATGCCAAACACTGTACAGTCCGAAAATAAAAGGGCTTCGGGCTTTGAGAGAGGCAAGGGTCTCACTCGCTGGAAGGATAGTTGTGGGACCAGTCTGGCCCACCAAGTGCTCAGTTGTCTTTATCTGAATGCAGGGATGCAGTGGCCAGGGCTACGGCTGTGACCGGCTGTCCGATGCCATGTAACTGCAGCTTGGCCATTTTCTTCTGCTCGCACTCCGATACTAAGCGGCTCAACTCTGCTGCACTGTAACCAATCAGAGTCTTCAGATCGCACACAAATTTGTAGACAAATCTCTTCCCTTGAACTTTGCAGATCATGTCACCATCATAGTAATATCTAGTAAGAAGTAGAAAAAAAAAAAAACACCAATTATAGTAATAAAAATGAATTAGAATTTACAATTAGACAAAATATAAAACTAAAATGGTCCAAAATGAAGATGTGCAAAGTAACGAATATATATTGCCCTTAAAATATGCAGAAAATTAAGCACATTTTTTGATAACATAACAAGACAATATGTCTCACTTCTGTATTGGTTAAAGAACTGCAAAATAGTAAAATCTCTAAAACAGGGGTGAGGTGTAACGATATGCTTTACACTAACTTCCATCAAAAAGATGTTAAAGCTGAAAAGTTTGGTCATGCCATGACGCTGCCCTCTCTGGCCCCATAGATGTCTATTAGGAAAATCCCAACTGCTAGCACTGGGTACTGAATTTCACAGATAAAGATTTTTGACTGTATGGCACATCATAACTCATCTCAATCCAGACATGGAGACCCTGTAGTTCTTTTTTGATAAGTGCGCCATCTAAATTTTTATTTTCCACATATGTTGCAAAAGATTCTTAGTTCAGGGAAAGACAAAAAAAAGGGAAAATATCTTACCGAAGTGCCCGGCTGAGCTTCTCGTAGTTCATGGTGGGCTTATTTTTGCGCTGTCCCCATTTCTGAGCAACAAGCTCTGGCTGGTTTAATTTGAACTCTCCTTCGTCTCCCACCCATGATATACAGTCTCTGGCATCTTTGTCAGTGAGAAGCTCCAGAAGGAACTGCCATAGCTGGATCTGACCATTGTTACCTACAGACAGAAAGCAGAGAGGTAAGATCAATGACATCACACTAGTCATTTAGTCTAGGAAAATATCTTTGGGAAAGCAATCTACACAAGTAAAGTCCCAGCTGTTCCATCTATAACCTTTCTCTGCTTGCCTGTGTTAGAAGCAGGGCTCACAATAAAGTCTGCCAATCAGATAATCTGAAAGCCGCATCCATGAAAGGAGCAAGAACTAGCGCTGCAAAGCAGAGGTGGGCTCCCTACTACATGTTCTTTGGGAATGCCTGAGAGTCAAACCCTTCTGGGCCTGGGTTGCCACCTTGATCAAGGGGATCACGGGACTGGCGCTGCCTTTTACCCCCTCGGCCTATCTCCTTCACTTGGCCCCGCTTTCTTGGAAGACATATAAACGCTCGCTGCGGATCTACATGCTGAATGCGGCAAGGGCTTGTATACCAGCTCTGTGGAGACAGACCCGCTCTCCATCAGTGGAGATGTGGGTGATGTGAGCGGAGGAGATTAAGCTGATGGAGGACTTAAGTTCCAGTTGGCGGGGGTCACAGACTAGTTTTGGGTCCACCTGGGGTGCCTGAGTCCACTTCAGAGACTCGGTTGCTTTCTCTACCATGTGTCGGGGGTGAGTTAGAAGTGAGGTGGTGGCCTGCAGAGTGATCCCCTCTTCGCCCTGCATCTGTAATGCTATGTGGGCTACAAGCGGGAGGTCCTGTGACTAGTGGGGAACGGGGTCTCTCGCAATACTTTCGCTCTTTGTCTTTATACTTCCCTCTGTCTTTTTGTTTAGTGGTATGTGTTTGTGTGTCCTTCAGGAGGTTAACCTGCCTGTTCAGAGATGGCCTCTCACATAGATGGGTCATGCCCTGCGGTTTGCTCTGTAATGTTGTTCCTTTTTGTTCCTTTTGTTTTATATTCATAAAATGCCTTAAGGGTGGGGGCGAGATCGAGCAACCAGACCCAATGTGGATGTTAATTTTCATATTTTGAGTGTGTGCTGCCGAGTCTGCTACTTGTGTGACATGTGAGACCATATGGCCTCTAAGTCCTTGCTCAATGTAACCCTCTGTTTTGTTTATAAAGAATTTGAGGGGGAAAAAAAATGAGCAAGAAACACTTTGGAGGAAAAGCAACTTTCCTTCAACATCCGACAACATGAATAAGAAATCAAATGCAGGGCTTGGGCCAACTTCAGCATGGCGATAGGATCGCTACTAAAATTCACTTCTAAAATTCACTTCTTCACAGACACGGTCTCTCAGGAGTAGGAGAGGTATTGTCACATACCAAAGATTATAAAATACATTGGCTGCTGTGCGTATTCATTTGTCATTATTCAAGCAAGTCCAGCAGAATAAATGTAAAATCAGCATAAGAACAACATCATATGTACCTGTCCTGTTTCCAGGAGAACTTCTGTCTTCTCCAGATATGCGCGGTGCTCGCTGCACTTTGGCCACTTTGGTTTGAGTGTTTATGACTTTAATAGTTGTTGTGGGAGTTGCATTTGCCAGGGATCCTGGGATTATCTGTACAGCTGGAAGGGAACATGATGGTTACTCATGAGCTTCCTGTATAATACATGCACTAATACTATACTCAGCCCACACACACAAAAACCCCTTCATAAATTTACCAATTTAAGATTTCACTTTCCCAATTAAGAATAAAACGTGCAATAGCATTAAAGTAGAACTATGAGGTGAGTGAAAATCACTCATCTTCATAGTTCGAGCCGACGTGTGACAATGAAACTGTCACACATTGGCTCTATAGATCGGGAAGTGAGTGAACACATACCGTCGCTCGCTCACTTCATCATCATCTCCCTGCAGAGAGCGGTGACTGTCAGTCACCACTCCCCGCAGGGTTTCCCCCTCTCACCTCTCCTCCGGCGCTGACAGGTGGATCGGACAGGGAGGGGGCAGGCACAGCTGGCTCTACCTCTAGATAAGCAGAGCCAGCTGTCAATCAGCCAGCTGGGTGGATCTCGACAGTATTGTCGAGATCCGTCCCGGCTGCGGCGCTTAGTATATCGCAAGCTACAGCTGAGCTTTGGGTCACGGGAGGATGATAGTATAAGTCCTCCCGTGAACCTTTAGAGAACTATGGGATAAAAGGTTTACCCCATACTTTTAAATATAAAAAATACAATACAACTCTAAAATTAAGACGAAAATCACAATCAACTTACGCTGATCAATAGTAACTGTAGCAATTTCTCCATGTTCCTGGCTAGCCAACACATCTGGAGAACAAAATATAAAAATGATTATAGGGAACATTAGACTGAGTGCTAAAAGAAAAAAAAAAAAAGTCTACAAGATCAGTAAAATTTACCAAGAGCAAATCAAAGCTATGGAAAAACAAACTAGTTTGTGGCCAGCTGTAGGGTAAGCAGTATAATCCAACCACTGAGAAAGGTCTTTGTCTGCAGCTTCTGGTTTAAATGGACCAACAAAACAGAATGCTACAATTTGTAAAAATGCCAGTTGCCTGGCAGTCATACTGATCCCATGTCTTCAATGCTTTCTGAGTGACTGACCAGGAACAGGTATGCAATCAATGTCATCTGTCTGCTTGCTGCAGGCCAATAACTCAGTATTAAAGCCAATGGAACAGAATGGCAGCCGAGCAACTAGTAGAGGGTTTTTTTTAGCCAATTTACAGATTGCTTGGGTCACAGATAGGGGAGTACTGGGATCAGGCGGTTGAAAAACACTTGTGCCATCCATGTGCTCTCTAGCTAACAGTCATTAACAGGATGCAATTTCTCGGACATCCACAACTTAGAGAGACTGTCTGTAAAAAAACAACAACCTGCTATTAAATAAATGGAACTCTTATAAAGAAGGTAATACCACTTCCATTTAATAATAGTCTTGAAGAAACGAAGAAGCCATTATGTCAAGTGCCTTTAAAAATCAAAACTCATAAAAGTAGCTTACGGTCAGGTCAGCTAGACTTTTTAACCTGGGCTGTAGGTGCTTTCCTCGCTGTCTCCCTTTGTTCATGGAAGACAGTGAAATATTTACTGTTGCCTAGAAGAAAACTAATAGGCAGCAGGATACATACTATATTCCTGCAGCAAACAATACGGTGGCATTATTGTGGATCTTCTTCACTTAAATCACATAAAAAGGGCCT